TGACTTTTTAATCCAAAATCGGCTATATCTTACAAATAGTATTTTATATCATTTTACTAGGAAATAACACAAGTTATTTTCCCTAGTCTCTTTTATTAGCACATCCTTAGCTATTTGCAAGCAATAATCTAATCTAGGTCTACCTCTACCACTCCTAACTCTCGCTTCTAGCTCTAAAATGTGTCTGACTAGACCTTTATGCCTGAGAAAGTGTCCTACCTAACATAACCTAACTTAACCTATCTCGCCTATATTATTTTGACTTCCATAGAGTCCTCTGTTTTCTTGTTCATTCTAATATCTCTTCATTTCTAACCTTCTCTATCCACGGTATCTTCATCATTCGCCGGTAATACCACATTTCGAACGCTTCTAACCTTTTATTTTCTAACCACAATCTGACCACTTCGAATTTCTTTATTCGATTTTAGTCACGTAGTGGTGAGCTACGCCGTGGATTTAGTTGAGCAAGTAGATATCCATCTATTTAAATGGACCTTGTTGAGCATATTGAATTCCACTAAATGTAGCATTGTATTACAGATGGCGCTTACCACGCCATCTGTAGGATTTCATAAAACGCGCTGTGTAGTGACCACTTCGAATTTCTTTATTCAACTACAATAATCATTTTTATTTTTAAATTATTTTAAATTCATATATGCCACAATTTGGAATATTTTACGGAAATTCATACATTACAAGATGCTTGTTACAGGTATCTATTTTCTTTTCGAGTTGTTTTAAGCATTATTCGGTTGTACATAATGAAAAAGATAACAATAACTTATCAGAATCACTCAATTTATTATTCAAGGGTAAATTCACCAAATTCATTGTGTAACTTCTTAAGTGATACTGTTAAAGTTGTAAAGGCGCAAATATGTCACTCACTAGTCACCACGTATGTTGTATCTGTTGATCTGCCTGGTTGACGCGGCTTTCTTTAATGGTTTCAAGTCGTGGCGCCTGGGTGAATGAGTTTATTTACTTGTTTCGCTAAGTGTTTGTTTAAAAGGCAGTAAAAGACACACGGCTAAGTAGTACTGAGTTCCATTTTATGTTCGGAGACATTTGCTGGTTGTCTCTTATTATACGATAGTATATTTTATAACGAGTCGCCCAGCAGGGGTTAAACGTAAAGCGATTCTTTTTATGAAATATTTGCGACAACAATGTAGCCTTTCAGTACGTAGAATTACCCTAAAATATAATGAAGCCTTGTGTAGGAGGTATTTAGATTATTTACGAAGAATATTCAAATGATAACACTAATTTATATGATTTATTTTATATTGAACAAAACTAAATCTGAATTAAACGTACCTATGATAATAAAATGATATATATANTTATCAGAATCACTCAATTTATTATTCAAGGGTAAATTCACCAAATTCATTGTGTAACTTCTTAAGTGATACTGTTAAAGTTGTAAAGGCGCAAATATGTCACTCACTAGTCACCACGTATGTTGTATCTGTTGATCTGCCTGGTTGACGCGGCTTTCTTTAATGGTTTCAAGTCGTGGCGCCTGGGTGAATGAGTTTATTTACTTGTTTCGCTAAGTGTTTGTTTAAAAGGCAGTAAAAGACACACGGCTAAGTAGTACTGAGTTCCATTTTATGTTCGGAGACATTTGCTGGTTGTCTCTTATTATACGATAGTATATTTTATAACGAGTCTCCCAGCAGGGGTTAAACGTAAAGCGATTCTTTTTATGAAATATTTGCGACAACAATGTAGCCTTTCAGTACGTAGAATTACCCTAAAATATAATGAAGCCTTGTGTGTGTATTAAGACACAAAAATCTTTTGCTGAATGAAATATGTGTATGTATTCATTAATCGAAAAAAATTATTCTTTTTAAAAAGTAATTTTTCCTAAAAGCATATGTCGCTTGCTTCTAATAGTTTTCAGTAACTACCATAACAAAAAAGGTAACAAGTATTGTTACTATTAAACTTTGCAAAAAGTAAGTCCTTAATGGTAATTCGGGAAGTCTGACAACTGTTTAATATGAATCTACCAATTATAATTATTTTAAAAAACATATTAAATTTGGATCTTACAAAATGGCGACTTATATAAAGACAATGAGCATAAAACAACACTTTTGAAATTTGTAATAGCGTTTAATAAAAACTTTTTACTTACAAATGTAGTTAATAAATGTGATATCTTAAGAGTATCGGTGGCCTTACACTGTCCTGATCCGGGACTAAAGACCGTAGTCGGTTGGAGTTGCTTCCAAACGTTTCGCTAGCACGAGTAGCGAACTTCTTGGCCGCGGATGCCTTTACAAGGTAATCAAAACTTTCTCAAAGGAATGAGGATTTTAAGAATTGGTTACATTGTCAAAACCTGTGACAAAAGTAAAAGTGATGTTGGTGGGGTCTTCATGCAAAACATTGAAGTAAAAAGAAGTCCCCATCAGATTGATAGTGAAATAGTCGCTGAAAATAGTCGAAAAATGTGTGTACCTATAGCTGTATTATGAGCGAAAAGTGTGAACATATTGTCACGCTATTCTATTTATTGTTATTTTTTATACCAACCTTAAGGAAGATTTTAATTTTTAAATTCAACTTAACTTATTTCTTTTGCAATGGTAACATTAATGACCTAGACGAACTTATCTCCAATAAAAAGTTGACAGTTTGGTGTAGGCTTTTTATTAGCTACTAGGTACAGTGGTTTCATTTACCACCGCCAGATGTCGTTTAATAATCCGTCAGTTTCCAATGGGGTGGGAACTAATCAATGAAAGAAAATTTAAAAATCTTTTGGGTGTTTCATTCCCACCAGTCACTAATCACTATTAATGCTGGTTGGCGGGCAGTCCCTCCGGACTATGCCGGAAGGTAAAGCAGAAGGTTCTCTTTAGCCTCCTATCAGGAATTATGGGAATGAATGGGTGGTGGTTCGGGTGAGAAAGATGAGACGGACGAAATGAAGACAGGGGCGAATAAAAGATTACCTGTGCATTTGCCTAAGTGATCCAAGGAAACCACAGAAAAGCTTGGACTAAGGCAGACAGACTCGAAATCGCACTGGCGCCCTCCCGAATGCTAAACAATGGTCTAAACCTCTAGGCCATGCCGCTCGGTATCAAAGAAAATAATATTCAAACCATATGACCCAATTAAAGTACGGGTGTCGATTTTGAATTAATATACGGTGTACTAATTATGAAAGCCAATATTCGCATTCTAACCGAAGTAGGTATACGTGGTGAAAATATAAAAAAATTGCCTTTACGCACAGTTGTCATTCGACCAAATATGCTGCGATCATTTATTTTTCTTATAATATACCATTATAACATTTAATGCTTATTAATCACCTTCACGTATAAATTCACTATTACACAATAAATACCATTTGAAATATGGCAGTTAAATATTCCTTAAGTAATCAATTTGCATCAGCGCAAGTACATGCTGCGGGTACGAATGTACCTACTACATATATTTAAAACGTGACGAAGTCGTAATGTGTGTTTATTGACATGTCATTCATGCAGGTTTATAATGATCAAGTGGCGGAAGGATGTTGAAGATTCGATGCGATAAAACTAACCCGCTGTTTCGCCATTTATCATTTTTAATTGCGCTAACGCGATGGCTGGATAATACAAGTTGAAAATTAAATTATTACTAACCGAAGAAAATGCTCTTATACAGGTGTTGCGATTTTTATTTGGCGTTAAAACAAACGTTTATTATTTATTACTGTATTTATAACCAGCAGCGCTCGCTCGCGCCACTGATGGAGGGACTACAGTACACCTGTCCTTGATAATCATAACTTCATAACCTACAAAAGACGAACGTAAAATTTAAATATTTCCCAGTTACCATCTAATACCTATTCAAATAGGCAAGAAGAGCACAACTGATTTTAGAATACAATACTATACGTAATTTTCAAAACGATCCCCTAAGGCTGCATCCAATTCAAATAGACGTGCAAGAGCAAATGGGAGCGAATATTTTCTCAAAAATTTCCGAATTGCTGTTACTAGTAAATAAAAGGTGGAGCCTATATTATCATCAATATCATCATCATAGGGTCGTCAGTCTTAATACTGCTTGGACACGTATCTCCACACTTTCCTATCCTGAGCTAATCTTCACATTTCCCTAAAACTGGAACATCCCACATCCTTAACTGTTTGTGAACAGTAATCTAATCTAGGTCTATCTCTACTCGTCCTAACTCTTGTTTCTGCCTCTAATATGTCTCTGACTAGACCTTCATGCCTGAGAAGGTATTCCTTCTAATACCTCTAATACCTCTTCATTTCTAACCTTCTCTATCCACGGTATCCTCATCATTCGCCTGTAACAAAACATTTCGAACGCTTCTAACCTTTTCTTTTCCGTCGTGCCTACCGTTCATGTTAACGTTTAACAAGCGTTTTCGAATTTCTAAATTAACTGTTCGCGAGCATAGAAGTGACTTCTTTTTATTGAAGTCGAATCGACCCTGCGCTATCCTCTGCTTTATATACCTACTACTCCTTCCGTCCTGACTTATCTGACTTCCTGTCACTTCTTCTAATTTTTCTTCTCCTATCTTTATATTCGCTCTTTCCCTACATTTTCCTCCCTTTCAAACCTGTATTTTTGTTTTATTTTTATTTATTTTTAACTCCTCCTTGCTAGATGCTAATGCTGCTATATCATCTGTAAATCCAAAAATACTTATCTTTTGCCCCTGTATATCTATCCCTATGGTTGTACTGTCTTTAATGATGTTGATCGCGTCTTCGATGTTTAGATTATAAAGTAGCGGTAACAGTGTGTATCCCTGTCAGCTCTACAACTGCCTGCTGGTAATTTATTTAATACAGAAACACTTTAACATATAGTGAAGAAAATATGTAGAATCTATTTGATAATCAAATTTTACAGCAAAAAAGAATTCTTATGTGATTTTATGTTTCGTATTATTGCACTATGTACATTACCAATCAAATTTTTTTTTGTTTTAGGAGGATGTTTCCGACATTGAGGGTGTCATTTACGGGGGTGCGTCCGGAACAACGGTACGCCGTAGTCTTGGACATAGTGCCGGTGGACAACAAACGGTATCGGTACGCGTATCACCGGTCGTCGTGGCTGGTCGCGGGCAAGGCTGATCCTCCGGCACCTTGTCGATTATACGCACATCCAGATTCTCCCTTCTCAGGAGAGCAGCTACGGAAGCAGGTCGTTTCTTTCGAGAAGGTCAAACTAACGAATAACGAGATGGACAAGCACGGTCATGTAAGTATTCACTTTATTCTGTATTTACAACGTCCAACTAAATAATGCAGGTAAATGTAAACGCATACGGACAGCAGACGTAGAAAATTTATCTGAAGCATCAAATTAATAAAAACCTAAAATATGTAGTTTATTTAGAGCGAATAATAAGTACTTATCAACAATTGTATAAAGTAGATCTAATTACATAAATAAACGTAAGTCTAACAAGGATTTAGCTTCCGGGTTTATCCAAGCCCGTAATGATAGATTTATGGGCGAATCGATCTGTTGAAGTATTTGTTATTCATCATCATTATTTACTCTGAGGCTAGGGCCCCCTTAAAATAGAGGTCTAATCATATTTTTCATATTTCTGACTTTTTGGTATTTTTACTGACCGAAGAAGCTAAGGGAAATCATACCTCTTACAAGATTTGTAACTCTTTATGAGCTTAATCGGTTTAGTCAATAAATTATCGAGATTGTCCATAACACACTGATGAAATCTCATAAGATAGAAATCGCGATCCAAATCTTAAGTTTCTAACTATTTATTTGAATGAGTCTAATAGGCATATACATAGGTATAAGTAATTTATTTAATACAGAAACATTGTATACAGTAATTTGTTTATCTGGAAATCATATCACTGTAACTGTAGACGTTTTACTGTTTACTGTTCTAGAACAAACAGAATAGCTCAAAACCCCAACGCCAAAACAAGACACTGTAGTTGTCCGAAGCACTTTTCGGTAACAAAGTTACCTTCTTCAGGGACTGAAGTGCTTCGGACAACTACAGCGTCTTGTTTTGGCGTTGGGGTTTTGAGCTATTCTGTTTGTTCTACAACAACCGCCAAAGTTTTTCCAATCTTCATATTTTGTTTACTGTTCATTCTTCAAAAAAAAAGTTTTTGCATGTTTCATTCCCATAAGCTGCAAATGCTGGTGAGTGGGCAGATACGACGGAAGACCCCCTTTATCCTCCTTTTAGGGGCCGTGGGGTGAGTGGGTGGTGGTAGTTGGGGAGAAAAAGATGATCCGGATGAAATCAAGACAGAAGAAAAGTGAAAAATTATCGTTAGAATATTATTGCCCCAGCATTTGTTAAATGATCCAAGAAAACCACACAAAAACTTGGATCAAGTCAGGCGAACGCTCCTTGGTTGTTGGGTCTTCTTGTATGCAAAGTTTATTAACTCTATTGTATCGATTATCGACAATAGAAGTGTGAAGAGATTAATTAGCTTCTTTGGTCGGATGACTGACGTCGGCACTCATAAGAAGGACGGCTCGAACCTTATCTAGTGACAATATAAAGGTACAATAACCCTTATTGTGTCTATATTTGCAGCTTTAAGACTGCATGATAGTCCGAATGTCCTATCCTCTCATCTGGCATCTAGATACAAAAATAATGGGACTCATTCCTATCATACAATGAACTATTAGGGTTTGGCTTTTTTTACTGGTTTGGTCATGAAAAATATGCTACTGTTACGGTTAAATTAGAATGGTTGCATTTTACCCGGATTTTCTATATATATGTTTAGGACAAAAAACGCCGTATCTTGAGGAACCAATGTGACCCTTCCACGGAACACCAAGGTTCCGCGAAACATCATTTGGGAACCACTGTGTTAGTTTCAAATTCTATGATTATTGAAGTTTTGATCGTGAATTAGTTGTTCAAAGTCTATGTCTTTGAGCACATCAAATTCTAGGAACATTAGCGACGTACTGGTCAATCTTTCTTGAAGCGTTGTACTTCTTAATTAAATTTTTAATCTTTTCAATTAAAAAAAAGAGCGTTCCCAAACGTCGTCAGTTATCATCATGATTAAAAAGAATCTCAATGCACTTTATACATTTGGAAATGCATTTTCAATTTCATTTTGCAATTATTAGTGAAGATACAAATCTTGCCTTGAAGTTCGGGTTTGTTTCCCCAGGAGCATCAGACATCCCTTCTTTTGCAATTATTGGTTGATTTCCTCAAAATAATTATAATTATCGTTAATAAGTAATAAGTTTTTGGTGTTCGGTTGGTGGATGGATCTGGCAGAAACTAGCAAGCCCCGTCGATTGCGGGGCTCTGGCCACTTGTCCAAAATACCCAATGGAAATGAGGGGTCTGGCTTTATCCGCCAGTTTAAGATAGACTGACTATAGGTATACATCCAGTATACTGGTCATTTATTTACACGCTCACAGAATATTCCTAGAGGTCACATTTTTATAGTAATTATAAGCTATTCAATTTTTATAAGAATATTTTTTTTAGCTTTTGAAAATAATTTAATTGTTATGCATTATATGGAACTTGAATAAAAACATTAAAAATCCCCCTTATATCTTATCATTCGGGGATGGGGAGAACTCAATTTTCTTATTGGAAATTCTGCTAACATAATATTTGAACAGTCCCCAGTATTATATTATGTTTGGAAATAAATAGAAATACAGTTAACATTGTGATTTAAAGTTTAGCAGTATCCTTAATACTATTGCTTACGTGTTATGTAAAAAATGAAACATTCACTTCGAAAAACTAAAAGTAAGTACCTTTTGCATAACATTTTTCGTAGTAAAACTATTTTCACGTTTAAAAAAATTATGACTCTATGAAACTTTAAATACTAAAAATGTCTTACTTGAGTATTATACAGACACTACTTAAATAATATTATCGGTTTCTTGTCATTTACATGTTGACGATTCTAAAATTTCATATTCGGTTTTACGAGTTTGTTTTACTGCCTTGTTTGCGTAGAGACGTACTTTCCTATAATGTGACCGTTTCCAATTGAATTGGAGGACGTTTCGAGACCGGGACCATCATCTGGACCCCCTGTCGTCTTCACGTGTGCGTGTACAAGTCGTGTCACTCTCTTTATGCAAGATTTGTTAGTAATTCACAGGCTAATATTTTTTTAAGTCGTGCTTAACTCCACCAATAGCGCCATAAGCCGATTAAGTTCTGATATAAGAGTAAATTCTTGTGTTAAGTACGGCAGGTTTGCGTTTAACTGTCGCAGGAATGTCGTTATGGGCACCTCGCCTACCACAAATTGTCACGGCGACTACTGAGACCACCAGCAGGTCCGCTTCGCAGGACCGGATTCGGTAACACTTCAGCTACATTACGACTCCGGGACTCTGCAAATTTATAATAGCAAACACTAAGCCAAACGAAAAATTTGAATTAAAACGAATCGTTTTTTATCTACGTTTCCTTCTTATTATCTTCATTGTGCTTATGGACAAATAAGATAACATTTAAGTACCTATATATTCCCTAAATTTTAATTGCTAGCCCTACGTATGTTGGAAACACAGTAAGTGTTCGAAATGCGTATCCGTAAAAATTGTACCTCGTTGTAATATGGAAAGGTAAGAAGGTTTCTTATTAAATATAATAGGGAATGGGTCGTGAAATGTCTCGTAGCTTGAAGTCCCGGTACTTTAGCTTTAACAGGTCTCGAGTCTTATCACACACTAGAAACTAATAAATTGCAACATAATTAGTCAAAATAATTAAAAGTATAAATTCATCTATACTTGGAACAATTAAAATTGGCAAAGTCCTTAATAAATTATCTGTGAGAATGGACGTATCATCTTTCTTATTTCCACTTGGGACTATAGTCATTTGCTGCGTTTTGAACACGCCCTTGCTAAGTTAATAGTACAGGCAAAGTAAAAAGAGATAACTGAATAATAGTAAGCGGTGTAGCGGTTAGAGGTTGCTGAAGTACGCGTAAGATCAGAGTCGGCTTTATAACTGCCTGAATGCAATTACATTTTTAAACTTTCCTGAAAATGTGGAACTTTCTTTCAAGTCCGATGCTGGCAACATACTCAAATTCTGTTTGTCTGCATCTCTTTCTGTTAAAAAAAACTTTTGGGTGTTTCATTCCCACCAGCCACTAATGCTGGAAGCGGGAAGTCCCTCCGGACTACGCCGGAAGGTAGGGCTGAATGCCCTCTTCAATCTCCTTTCAGGAATCGTGGGAATGGGTGGGTGGCGGTTCGGGTGAAAAAGTTGAGACGGACGAAATGAACACTGAAGATTATGAAAGATTATCTGTGGAGTATTACTTGTCCCAGCATTTGCCTAAGTGATCCAAGGAAACCACAGAAAAACTTGGACCAAGGCAGACAGATTCAGAATCGAACCGGCGTCTTCCCGAATGCTGCGAATGGTCTAAACCTCTAGGCCATACCACTTTCTGTTACACATCAATTGGTGTAATGTTATTCCTTTTTCTTTGTTAGTGTCCGCTGCAATTCCTACCTGACATTTGTTTTCCTATGTTGATTATATTCCTTATAACGTCTACCATGAGTAAAAGTAGGCGTTTCGTTAACAATCGATCTGATCTGGCTAGTAAGTTGTAAGGAAAAAGTAAATGCGATAGTTTTATTGCGGACAATGCCAGTTTCCAACGTCCCGACTATACCACAGTCAATTTGCTTATACTAAAAAGTATTAAGAATTGACTGCGATAAGTGTGTCAACACTATTGTTTTCTTTATTTTGGATAATTACTTTATAATGTACTAGTTCTCCGTAATAAAAAAATGAGTGGGATTTTTATGGTTGCTGTTTAGTTGCGGTTGTCTCTACGGTTAAAAATGCGGTTACAGTTTTTCAAAAAAATATTGAAAATAACGAAAAATAAAGTTTATTCTTTACATTAACGTTCTGCGATTGTTAAATAATTAATTCTGTAAAACAAAAACAGAAATTCTAATAAAAGGTTGTAACGTTCTTTTTCCTATGAAAAATCCGGTTCAATTCAATCAGTCCAGTTTCGGAGCAATCTTTCTTGATTCTTTGCATTTTACCAAGTCGAGCCGAGCTGTTGTTTGTGTAATTGATTATTTGATGTTCGTGTTTATTAAAAATATCACCGATTAAACAGTAAATCTCGTTGAAAGTTTAAAACATAACGAAAACAATGGGAAAAATTTTAAAATTAAAAAGTTAATGCAGTAGTTACCAAAGTAATAAC